CTGGTGCGCGTCCGGATTCGGTCGCGCGCGCGGGAGGGACATCTGCGCAAGGGCGCTCCCACGGCGCGCCGTCCAGACGCACAGATGAGCTCCCTCCCCCCCCCCCCTCGCCATTGCACCATGATTTCCCTCAGCGCCCTGTGCCGGATGACCGCCTCGGCGTCGCTCCGCTCCGCCGGGGGTGCCCCGTCGGCGGCCTTCTCCTCGGCCGCCCGCCAGGCCACCCTGGCCGGGACCATCTCCCTGAACAACATCGCCGACAACCCGGGCTCCTCGCGCGCGGTGCGTGATCGCCACCTGGCTGCCTTGTGGCTCCCTTGCTCTTTTGCCCCCGGTCCCTGACGCCGTCCGCCCTGTGTCTCTCTTCCCCGTCCCCCCTCCTCTCTCTCTCTGCCTGCCTGCCTGCCTGCCTGCCTGCCTGTTCCCGGGGTGGGGACCTGCAGTTCAAGCGTGTCGGTCGTGGTCACGGTTCCGGCCTCGGTAAGACCTCCGGTCGCGGTCACAAGGGTCAGAATGCCCGCTCGGGCAATGGCAAGACCAGCCCCTGGTTCGAGGGTGGTCAGTCGACCATCATCGCCAAGACCCCGAAGACCGGCTTCAACAATGCGGCGTACGTCACCCGCCCCCGGGACCTGCCGGCATGCGGGGCCGGGGGGGGCCATGTGTTGCTGGCAGCCTGGCGCCGGACGCGAGGCAGGCCGGAAGCCGGCCCGGCCACTGGCCCCGCCCTGCGCCCCGACTGACGATGTGCCGGCCACTGACGCGCCTTTGGCCCTTCCTCCCCCTACCCCCCTACCCCCCTGATGCGTGGTCCTTGTGCCGACCCCTTTCCCCAGCTTCCGGAAGGACTTTGTCGAGCTGAACCTGGCCCAGCTGCAGCACTTCATCAACATCGGCCGCATCAACCCGCATGAGCCGATCACCATCAAGACCCTGTACGAGTCGGGTGTTGTTCATGGTGTCAAGGATGGCGTGAAGCTCCTGGCCGACGTGCGTCCCTTTTCCTCCGCCTCGCCTCCCTGTGGCGGGTGTTTGCCCGGGTGGGCAGCCAGCAGTCTGACCGTCCTGTGCCCTCCTTGCCGTCGCACCTTGTCATCCGCCTGGGCGGCCTGTCGCGTGGATGCTTGCGCACACAGGGTCGCGATCTTTTCTACTCCAAGGTCGACATCCAGGTGTCTAAGGGTGCGCATTTGGCGCGGCGGCCTTGCTGGGTGGCTTTTTTTTTGTTGTCCTTTCCTCCTCCTCCTCCCCCGGGGGTGGCTACCCGCCTGACCCTCCCTTCTCTCCTCCTCTCGTCCCCTTTTTTCGGTGACCGGGCCGGCCGCTCATCGTGCAGCCTCCGCGCTGGCCATTGACTGCATTGAGAGCCGCGGCGGCAAGCTGACGTGCGTTGTTGGGTTTTTCTTTTGTCGGGCTTCTCTGGCTGCTCTTTTTTTCCCGCCCCTCGCCCCTTTGATGTTGCCGCCGCCGCCGCCGCCGCCGCCGCCGCCGTGGCCCCTCGCTGACGACGCCCATGTGCCTCCCGGTCGCGCCAGTACTGTCTACCACAACAAGCTCGGTCTGCGGGCCCACATCAAGCCCCAGTCCTTCCTGGCCAAGAGCCGTCCGCTTCCCCGCCAGGCCCTGCCCACCCGTCGCGCGGACCTCGAGTATTACCGCGACCCGGCGCGCCGTGGCTACCTGGTCCCGACCGCGGCGACGGACGCCTCTTCGGAGGTCGACTAAGTGGCAGATGTCCGACTGGCGGGAGCTCCCTTCCCCTGCCTCTTCCTCTCCTCCCCTTCCCCTCTTGACCTTGTTCCCTTTTTTTCCTCCCCCCCCCCCATTCCGCCCATTTCCGCTGCTCTCGTGCGCGTCTTCCGTTTGTCCGGCGGGCCGCGGGTCGGCGGCAGTGTGACATGGTGTGCTGCGTGCAGAGGGGGCCCCCTGTCCCCTTTGCCCGGTGCGCGCGAGCCCGCGCTCCGGCGCCCGAGCCGCCGAGGGCGTGGCCGAGGCGCACCCCAATAGAATTCCACATGATGAAATGCAAGAGGCCCCTGCTACGGGCCGGCCTCCGCGGCCGTAAGAGGACCGGGGGGCCACCCCGGTATCCGAAGGGGGCAGGTGCCCTTTCATGTCCCCCCCGGACGTGCCGGCCTCTTGCACGGTATGTGTTCGGCCCCTGGCGGGCTCTGACCGCGCGACAGGGAGGGGGGGGGGGGGGG